CGATCGCCGCCTTGGCGCGCCGGGCGCTGGAGTCCGAAGCCGCGAGCGGGGGAGGGGACTTGGGTGGGGACTGGAGGCAGTCTCGGCCAATCACGGACGCGACGGCTCCTTCCCCCTGCTCCCCACCTCAAGCTAGCAGGTTAGGGGGAGGCGGGGGACCCGTGGCGCCCTACATCCTCCGCGCTGTGCGCGGCCGCCGCCTTGGGACTACAACTCCCGACAGGCCTTGCTGCAGGGCCCGGGTCCAAGAGGGGATGGAGGGCACGACCCGAGAACCCGCCGACCCCCTCGCGCCCTTCTCCGCGTTCCTTTGGATTTCCATGGTAACTCAAGACACTTCACAAAGCCCAGGCACTGGGACGAGCTGATGCACGCGTCCCCTGGGAGGGCTAGCGCGTCCCCTCCCCTTGCAGGACTCCACCCGAGGGGCTGAAACAATGCCCCAGTTGCCTCTTCCTGGCTGCTGCCAGGCCTGGCTAAGGCCGCTTGGCTCCCTTCAAGACCCAGTCCGACGCCATCGAAATGGGCGCTCAGCAGGACTGCAGGATGGAGAGGGCGGGGGTGTAGTTATTGGAAAATGTTCTCACGTACAACGTGGATAGCAACTCGGGGCCACCTAAGTGCTCACCTCTCCTCTCTGGGGCCTCGAATCAGGAGTTCATTCTCTCAGCAGCGTTGAGCTATGGCTTCTTTCTCCATCCAGAGCTCTCAAGTCCAGCTGCCTGTTCCATTTCTGACATCTCTTTTCAGGGCATGGTGAAGCGTCTGGAAATGTTTTATAACTCAGTTTACATTCGCTTCACCTTTTTCCCCCTCACGTTTTGAATACACATGTCGTTTAACAAAATCAGCAAATCTCAAAAAAGAGAATCACCAGGCCTTTTGTACGACCTTCCCGACCCCCTCTGGAGCCTTTACCGTGTATATTATTTCATGTAGTTGTAATAATAGCTGAGATACGGCTTAGTAATTTGCCTCTTTTCACTTAATGTCACTCCGAAGGTGTTGTTATCGATAAGGTGTTAAAATGCACTGAGGCCTCACTTCAACCTCATACCAGGGTTCCCCGGGGAACCCCAAGAGGCTGTGGCAGAAGCCCCTCCCCTGACAGACTCCCTGGAAGGAGTGAAGGTGAGGGGGTTCCCTTGCTGTAGCCAGCAGATATGTTTCTCTCTGAGGAATAATTTCAAACAAAATGGTGCTCCACTACTCCAGAGGGTCCCCCCTCCCTGTCTCAGCAAAATTTTCCCCGGGCGCCCACCGCCACTGCCCGCTGAAGTGAGATCTCCTTGGGCCGCTTGCTCTGCAGTCCGGCAGGCTTGGCTGGCATTTGGGGCTTCACTTCTGGATTACCCCCATAGAGTCTCTACTTATGCTGGAGGAAGGATTATTTCTCTGCCCTCTCCCCCAATGGTAAGCTTATGCAGGGAGTCCCCACATGAGCCTAGGGACTACCCCCAAAGCATCCCAACCCAGAGTAGGCCAGGACGTGACTATGAAAACTAAAGGGCAGTGGCTCCTCCTTCCCCCACTGTTTCAGCTTGGGGCACTGCCCTAGGCATTTCCCCAGGCCGACCAACTTCTGCGCTGACCCTGAGATTTCGGTAAAATCGGTTGAGCTTGAGGGAGGTGAAGTGGAACCCAGAGCTGGCTCCCGGCAGCTGAGTCTGCGGGCACGTTCCAGGCTGCACTTTTTGCCTAAGGGGGAGGGAGCCCTCTAGTGGCATAAACGTTTTCTGCATCATTTAGGGGACCTCACGTTTGGACTCAGGCTGCCTCGCTTATTTGAGCCTACCACCCGTGGTCAGAAAAGAGCTGTCTGTTGGCCTGGGACGTTGCTGAAAGTCTCACCCAAACCTGAGGTGACAAATGTCCCCGGTAGTTGATTTTATCTGCTTTTATTTATTTTTAATTTAGGCTCTCTCTCCTGGGAAGGAGCCCAGGGCTTGGAATCATACATCCTTAAGCTGGAATCCTTGGCTTCTTGACCTTGGGAAAGTTACTTAATCCATCTGAGCCTTAGCTTCACACAGACGTGGGAGACCAAAATACATCCTTTTAACCTTGCTGTGATAATTACATGAGGAAATGCATATAAAAGGCATAGCACACACTACCTGACATATAGCATGCACTCAACAAATACAGCTATTTTCATTCATTTATTCAGCAACAGATGGTTGTTGAACAGCGTGAGGGGTATAAGAACATGATGTTCGCACTATATCGGCCACAAAAGGCAATATGCTGTGACTTTTATTATAAAGCTACTATGACCAGCTTAGGTGAAGTGGAATGGGAATTCAGACAAGAGAGAAATCCATTATGAACAGATCATCAGAGAACAGAGGAGCTGGATTTGGATTTCACCTGGATGTTGACATGTTGGGTGCTTCTAAGCCAAGGTCTGAGATTCCAGGATGAAGGAGTAAAACTTTGTGGGGAGGAGGGGGGAGTTTATAGCTCAGTGGTAGAGCTCATGCTTAGCAAGCACAGGTTCTGGGTTCAATCCTCAGTACTGCCATTAAATAAATAAGTAAGTAAATAAATAAATAAACCTAATTACCTTCCTCCTCCAAAAAAAAAAGAGTTTGTGGGTAGGAAAGCTGGGGGGTGGGTGGGTTTGGAAGACAGCTGAGGATCCCACCATGGCTTCAAAGTCAAGTCCATGAATGGGGGTGATGGGAAGAGATGGGAGATGGCAAGGTAAGGTAGGCTGCCTTCAGGATCAGACTTCACAAAGCTCAGGGCTATTGGTTTTTATGAGTAAATGTGTTTGGGGTTCCAAACTGGCTTAATAGCAAGCTTCCAGAATAACGGACCAGTGAAGGGCTACCACCAAAGGAGAGAGAGGAAAGACTAGCAGGTGTTTTCAGAATACATTTGACCCTTACACCTCCACAGGGCAGGTAGCCTTGTTCATTTCTTGCAGATGAGGTGCTCAGAGCTTAGCTTGAGTGACCTGCCCAGAGAGTCATGCTGCTCTAAGTAGCAGAACCATGGTCCAAACCCCATCTGCCTGATGCAGGGCTGAACCCTTCCTGCTCCAACACCCCCCCCCGCAATCCTCCAGAAGGTGACAGATGATGACCATGATTGACTGCCTCTCCAGAGGAGCCGATGCCAAGTCCTTGGCACCCAGATGTTCCTCCTGCAATTTCACCCTGTTCCTCCTTGGGGTGCCCTCTGAGAAGGGGTGTTCTCCAACAGTCCTGAGGACCTTTGTGTTCAATTTTTTCCTCAGCCTTCTCTTTTCACTTCTTTCTCCCCTCACACTTCTCCATGACAACCCTACTATGGAGAACACATCAAGAAATCTACTTAGCCATTAAAAAATTTTGAGCCAGCAATCAAACTTCTATATTCAGGCCAGCGCCACAGGGAAGGGGCCAAAAGGGAGTCGTGAAGATGGACAAATGGACCCTGAGAGAGAGAGAAAACCAGAAGAGGACTGAGAGCATTTCAGACCCCGGAGCTGTGGCCACCAGTCTGAGGCTGAGATACAGGTAGGGGGACCTGGGGAGGCTGAGGGTGGTGGTGCTTGAGCTGAAAACAGAAAAGTCAATTCCACTGGCTTATCCTGACCCTTGAAATGCTGATGAGCTCTTCAAAAATTTAAATCTTTTCTTCTGGCCTAGGAAATTTTTTTTCCTGCTTTGACTTTAAAACTTCAAAGTTTAGTTTTGAAATAAAATTTTGTCTTCTCTTAGAACTAGAATGCCAGCGAACCAACAAGAAGGAATCACTGTATGATTCCAGCTGCCCTGGCCCCACAGTGGAACTCTACCATTTTAAATCTGCATTTATTTCACGCACATAGAGAAATTCTTCAAGCCAAGAGGAACCTAGAAATTGCATAGTCTCCCAATGCCAACATTATATATATATAGATAAGGATAAGGAGGATTTGTTTTAAGCCATTTTCTCCCTTAAGAAATAAAATTCATCTGGGTGTTAATAAGAATCATAGGACAAGAAGCACAACTCAGAGATACCTAATCACCTTCAGAGAACAAAAGAGTTACTCTAAGAGCCAGATCTTTAATCATGTTTTTGTTCGCCACCTGTCACACTCCGTGACACAATGCTTTATTGAACCCCTGACCAGGGCTAGGGGGCTGAGAATATTGGAAAGAATTCCCTCACTCCAGCCACTAAGCTGGGTTTTCATTTGTAAAATGAGTCCAAAGAAACAACAGTAAAAAATATATATGTATGTGTGTATATATATATGTATATATATATATATATGTATATAAACTCATCTGTCTTTATCTGATTTTTTTGATACTCTTTTATGAAGTCAGCCCTTCTGTTGAGCTAATTTTCCCCCTGTAGTTGCATGAATCAGAAGCTCTCTAAATCAGAATTCAAGCAAATATTTATTGAGCATTTCCTGCATATTTTATGTACCTTATTCATTTAATCCCCACAGCAGACCTGTGAGAAAGATACCGTGACACCCAGTTTATGGTAGAGGGAAATAATATTTCAAAGGCAATTAAGTCACCCAAGGTCAAACAGCTCAAAGGGGCAGAGCCTAGATCAAGACCCTGGTTTGAGCCCAGGATCTGTGTTTGTTCCACCCCTAGAGTGCAGGGGTATAATGCAGAGGGACAAAGGAAGAAGTTCAGGAAGCAGGTGGCCTGGAGGGCAGGAGAGGGGAGCCTCTGAGGGTTGGGGGTAGGGTGGGGAGGATTAACCTTGGGCCAGGCTTATAGTGCAGCACCAGCAAGAGGGACTGTGGCAAATCAGGAGAGGCACCAGCTTTAGAATCAGATTGTTGTGAACCAGATAGTGTGAGCCTCAGTTGCTGCATCTGTAACCTGGGCTAACAGTACCCATCTCCCAAGGTCATCTAAGGGTGGATGGCACAGTGCCTGCAGCAGGAGACCCCTCGATGTATGGTGGTTATTACTGAAATTGACAGCAATGCTTGC